CTGCCAGGTGACATCGTCTGATGCCATCAAGAAATGAGCTGAATTTTATTCACTTATTCTGTTTGGATGTGAAGTCCCCTGCAATGGAGACAGCCCTTCATCTCATCCACCAGCACTGTGTTTGTTGTGAAATCCTCCCCTCCCCTTTCAGCTTTCTTTTGGGTTTTAATTAAATACTTCCAGAGTCACAAAAAACAACCTTGAACAAAAAGCCAATTGCAATCCAGTAATGTGATGTTTTCCCTTGGGGAAATAAAGGGTTTGGAAACCATAAGTGTGGAAGGTGTAAACTCCTCTGTTTATCTCTTTGTTTTTGGTTGGTTGTTGCTTGTAAATGTGCTGCAGAGGGTACCTGTGCATGTCAGCAGAATTTAGGCTCTTTGGGCACTTCTGGAATGTTTCCCCGTTGGGCTGACTTCCACAGCCACCTACCAGTGCACCCTGACCAACACTGTGGTGCAGCTGCACATCATCAGTAACAAAGGCACAGCATATTGGAAAGTGAAAATGGGGGGGAGAGTAAAATAAACATGATTTGGTATTAAAAATAATAGAGGCGGGAAACTGGGCTGCACTGTTTTCTCCATTTCCATCTTCTCTCATTCAGACTCTACTCGTTATATGTTTCCACTTCAGGTGTTAATAAAGTGGCCGCTGCATTTCCAGTCTGTCACACAATTCAGCAGTGGTGTCCCAGCCACCGGGTTTGGCTGGGGGCTGAGTATGAAGGCAGGACGGAGAATGCAGGTCTGGGAGAAGCAGGAAATTGAGCTAACCAGACATTGTAAAAAGATGGTGTTACTCTTCCAGTTGTAATTTGTTGAGATAAACATGTCAGAGAAAGGCTGATGTTGTCATCGGGGGAAGGTTGTTCTTTTTTCACTCTTTTTTTTTTTTAAAGACCCTTGTGTTGTGTGTGCATTTATAGCTCCCAGCTTAGAGGCTGGAGCTGGAAGCTCATCAGCCATTCTGTCTCCTATCTGCTGATCTGCTGGCACTGGGGGAAGGGCAGTGTGGGCAAACAGGCATTGAATTCCACCTTGATAAGCAGATCCAGGAAGAGCCGTAGAGCAAAGGTGGGGAAGAGGAAGGAGAAGCTTTAGCCAACTGTCTCAATCCAGCACTGCTCAATGCTCACCAGAGCAGAGGTCGTCACCACCTATAATAACCCTCGGGAAGCCAGATGTATGCTTTCCATTCACCACTCATCTACAAAGTGTCTTCGGGTGAAATCGTGGCTCCTCTGAAGTCAATGGGAGCTTTGCCAACGACTTTACCAGAGCCAGGTTTTCATCGCAGACAATTTTAAAGCAACCTCCGGGCTTAAAGATAAAACGACAGCATGCTGGGAGTGGGCGCAGGGAGGAGCAAGATGAGGAGAGAGCAAGGCTGTAGCAGCCACATCTGAAAAGCTGTCAGCCTTGCCAGCAGGGCACCTCCACTGTCCTGGAGCAAGGCTGACACTAAAGGAACAACCTAGACAAACAGGTGAGCACCTGCATCCTTCGGCTGCTGGGACAGCTGGGCCCCAGCTGAACCACAGTGCTGACACCACTGGCAGTGGCACCCACGCTTGGTTCATCTATTGCTCCCACCTCCACCTCCTCCGCACTCCTGAAATGAAGTATTGATGGTGGTGCTACATCACATCACATTATGTTTTCCCTCCCTCTCTTCAGCTAGCTTTGAAGGATGTCACCTGGCGGCGGCAATCATCCAAAATGAGGATTTTTCACACTTGAGCGGGTGCAATTAACGTACTAATGATTTCAGTCAGCAGGACCACCCAGGCTTCACATGGTGTCATTTCTCAGCTGGGTGGTGCTTGGTTTCCAGGAGTGGAACTCATACCAAGTGTAGGTACCTGTGTGGTGCTGGGGTGGGGTTCAACCTTCAGAGCAAACAGCCCCATGCACGGCTTGCTGGCCGTAAGGACTGCAAGGGGTACAGTGACCACGGTGTGCTGTTTTGGTGGACGGGACGAGCAGAGCCCTGACCGACCCCTGTAGCATCTCCACAGGAGATAGTCCTCAAAACATGGTTGCTTTTCCCTTTGCTTTTGAGTACATCTGCCCTAAAGGTTGCAATTCATTAATGAAGTCATCGATGTTTAACTGTTTGTGAATTTCAGTTGGCATCTACAGCACACGTGCTTCCTGCTCTCCCCCAGTACAGCCACACAGCACTGTCGCCATACACGAGTGCCACTTTTGTCCCAGCTTTTTCAAGTGGGAGGGACTTTGATTTCTTGCTGCCAGCCAATCACTGCCAGTAGTAGCACTGCTTCATCCCTCTGTCTTTCCACAACAGCGTAACACATAAAACTTAATGTCCCATGAGGAAATGCACACCAGCTTGGGCCCATCTCATCTGGATTAAAGATGTCTTTTGGTTCAGTCTTTCGTAAGGCGAGGGAGAACATACATTACCCAGAGCTCAGCAGCAGATCCATGTGTGCGCGTCTCACCAGGCTTCGCTTGGACTGTTTCGCATTACGGCCTCCTGTCCCCCTGGGCATAGATTTGTGCCATAGAGCTCTGAAATACACAACTCACGTGGAAAGTTTCCACTTTTCCTTAACAGCCAGGAGTCACCAACAGCCACTAGGCAGGGACAGGCTCTGCAGCACCTGGAGGACCGTTCTGCCTTTTTTCCGCTCGATTTCCCCTGCCCCCTACTTCCTGCCTGCTGCCACTGGCTGCCAACATCCCAGCAATGGCACTAGGAAAGCTGAGGCTGAGCAATGACATCTGAAGCACATCAGTGTTTTTATCTCCTCGGTATTTTGATTAGCGCAAGGAATGTTTGGGTTAAAGAAAACACAACCTTCTTTTAGAGCCACATGACCGTCCCACACGCTGTTAGGGCTTTATGTAGTGTGGAATGGCTTTGTAGAATTTCCCTGTGTATCTGGGCACACGGGTGCTATATGGGGTGCTCCTCGAGGAGTGATCTCATGAGGCAGAGTGCTCAGGACACTGATGTCTGTGCAGATCCTTCCTACCGCAGCGCTCATAGCAGGTTAAAAACTCTTAAGCTGAACAGTTGGGTTCTGTGGCTTTTGGTCTCATTTCTAACAGTGTTTCAGTGCAATTATTTTAACCACTTCCCTGTCTGACAGCATTATCATTGGAAGGTCAACCTGTCTGCCTGGAACATGCCAGCATTCTGACTCATTTGTGACTGGAGCCCTTGGACACACCAGACCTGTCCGAGGCCCCCTGTGAGTTCCGGCTCTCCCATACCCCACACACACACTGCTGGGCCAAGGGAAGCAGGGTGCAGTGCGATGCAGGTAGGATCCCACCTTGTGCCTTGGCCACAGCTGGCACCACACTCTGAAAGTGCATCTCCCCCTCACTTTGCAGCAGAACTGCTGGGGATGTCACTCCCAGGATGAGAACGTTTGGGGTGGAAACTGCTCTTTCTGCTTTTGGCCATTCTGGCACCAGCTCGACATCCCAGCTGCCACGCACAGCTCTCTGCTGCTCTCACACAGGCCCCAGTTGCACAGTTCCTTGCTTTCATGTCACAGTCCGAACTGTAGAAAACAACCACAAAGATTCCCAATGTTTCACCCATTTTTGGTGAGGTGACTCTCTTTCACATTTCTTTGAGCTGTGTTCTCTTTACAGTGACCTGCAGCACTTAGGAAGAGGTTTGGCTCTTTCAGATTGGACACCAGAGTACACGTACTTACAGCAGGCAGTCATCTCACCCCCATCTCCACTGAACCGTTTTCATCTCTTTTCAAACGCAACTTCACTTTAAACTCGGGGGCCTCCCACCTGAGAGACAGCGTTTGTTCCGCTGTACTTTTACAGCCGGCAAAGAGGAAAACTGCCTCCTGCAAGGGGACACAGAGGCGGCATTCCCCGCAGCCCGGAGCTCCGCGCAAGGTGCAGCGACGGCCCGGCCTGGGGGGCTCGGGGATGGGAGTGGGACGGCAGGCAGCAGCGGAGCTGCGGAGAGAGAGAAGGGAAAGGGGGGGAGCGAGCAGAGGGGAGGACAGCAGGGGAGGGAGGCAGAGCACTATAAAAGCATCCGCCGCACACCTCTCCCAGCACAGAGCGAGGGGGCGAGAAAGTTGGTGCGGGAGCAGCAGCGGCAACGGGAGGAGAGCCGACCGTCCGCTCGCACACACGCACGTTGGCAGGAGAGAGTGCGGTGCTGCCCCTGCCCAGCCGTAGGAGAGAGAGAGAAGAGATGGAGCCAGGTACCCAGCTCCCAGCGAGGGCAGCCGGCTGAGCCTCCCGAGGCCCGGGGAGCCCGCGGCGAGGAGGAAGAGGAAGAAGAGGAAGAAGAGGAAGAGGAGAAGGAGGAGGAGGAGAAGGAGGAGGAGGTGGGGGGGCTACCCCTCACTGCCCCCCTCTCACCAGGAGAGGCCGAGCCGGGAGCCGCGGGGAGCCCTGACGGGAGGAGGGAGGGACGGAGGGAGCGGCGGGGCGGGCGAGGACACGGCGGCGGGGGGGCAGCTCGGGGGCCACCCCCATTCCCTCGCGAGGGGGGAGCCGAGAGCCCCCCGCTCTCTCCTCCCCTCGGGGCTTCCCCGCCGTGTGAGAGCCGCCCCCCGCCTCTCCTCCCTCCCGCGCACACGCACATACACACACGCGCGGATCCCGGCTCCCCCCGGCCCCGCGGCCCGCTCGCTCCCTCCCTCCGACGGCCCACGGTGCCTCTGGCTTGCAGGGCTGCTCGCGGAGACGCCGCCTGCCCGCGGCCCCGCCGCTACCTGCCGCCCGCCGCCGGGCAGCCACGGGATTCCCGCCGCCGCCTCCGCCGCGTCCCGCCCCGACGTGGCTCCGCCGTGGTGTGGCGGCCCCCGCTGCTGCTGCTGCTGCTGCCGCCGCTGCCGCCCCGCCGACGCCGAGAGCGGCGCGGTCCCGGCGGCCGGCCCCGGGGCTGCTCCGGCGGCGGCGGCGGCTCCGGCGGCGGCGGCCGCGGCTCCTCCTCCTCCTCCGCCTCCCCCTCGGCCGCCGCCGCCGCGGGGCCCTAAAGCCGCCCGACTCAAGAGGATGGTGCGGCTGGCGGCCGAGCTGCTGCTGCTGCTGGGGCTGCTCCTGCTCACCTTGCACATCACCGTGCTGCGCGGCGGCGGCGGAGAGCCGCAGGGTCCCGCGGGCGCCGCCAACCACAGCCAGCGGCAGGTGAGTGCCGTCCGGGGAGAGCGCACCTGTCCCGACCGCGGCGGACGGAAGGCGGAGCCGCCGCCGGGCGCGCTGGGGCGGCAGCGGGCGTCGCAGCCGCGGTGCGTGCGGGGCCTCGTGGAGCGTCCCAGCCGAGGCAGTCGGGGAACGGCGCTGGGAACGGGAAGTACGGCCGTCCCCGGGGTTATCGGGACGCGGGCGGGTGAGGGATGCTTGCGGCTGATGGGGAGCGGGGCTGGGTGCGACGCAGCCGTCCGTCCCAGCCTCCCGATCCCGTGGAACCGACGGTGAGTTACCTCGGTGAGAGGTGAAGGACTCTTTCTGTTCTGCGTCCGGCGGTTCTGTTTCTATGCAGCGTCCCGTTTTGTAGGCGTGCGGAGAGGCGGTGGTGCGGGACCGTCCGGGCGCCGAGGCAGGACTGAGCGTAGCTGGTCAGGTGCAGCCGTTCTCGAGCTCCGTATCCTGGAGTTAGAACAGAAAAGCCACCAAACCACGTGAGAAACTGATAGAAAACGAGTAATCATCACCGGCATAAATTCACGCGGCCCCCCCGGTATCATGTTAGACGAAGGGAGGCATCGGCAGAGCGCATCTTTATAAACGTGAGGAGGAGGTACTGGAGACCCCCCTGCATTCACGGGCTCTCGCCCCCCCCTCCCCCCCGGTGCAGTCCCCTACCGAGTCCAGATCCTGTGGGGGGTCCCGCCGCCCGCCAGGGCCCACTGTGGTGCCCCTCTGCAGCTGTAGTGCTGGCCTTGGCCCTACGGGACGTTTTTGTTTGATGTCTTCACAATTTTGTCTATTAACGTTTTACAAACGATGCTTTCTTTCCTCACGGGTGCTCAGAATGCCTTTTTAAAAGGATGTTCCTTGGAAAAGTAAATGTGGAGAGGTTTTTTATGAGGTGTTTGCTATCATTAGGATAACCCTGAATTTGCCTTTTCTTACTGGGGTTGTAATGTAATGAGGGAAACAGCTGGGCTGCGTGCTGCATCCCCGAGGAGCTCTTCTCAGAGTGCTTTTGTGGAGTTAAGGTGATAGAGGAGGAAAATCGGATAGTTATCTCAGGGTGTTGTCATTCTGCCTTGGCCGTCTCATCCAAATCTGTTCATTGTCAGCTTGGAGCATTTTTTCTGTCCGGTTATTTCATTTGTACAGAAAACTTAGGAAAGTGTGCCTTCAGGCACCATGATGGCTTTAGCAGTTCATATTTTGCCATTTGTAGAACTGAAATTTTTATGTACTTCCCAGCAGAATGGATTCTGCAGCTCCGTATCTGGGAGAGCACGTCTGTGCAACGCATCTCAGGAGGGAGATCGGCGGGTGATCGGCAGGGCAGGCGGCAGCCTGTCCGCTTCTTCTTGGATTAGGGCTGCCAGGGACTCCTCAGCCAGATGGAAAGCACTGTAACCTGCCTCAAAGGTTGAGCTGGCGGATGCATGGCAGCACAGGGCAGGAGGATAACTTTGCATGGGTGTCTCTGGGTCGGGGGCTGAGCGCCCTGTGGCTGTTAGCATGGCTCACACCGAAGTGAAACACAAAACAGCAGCGCACTGTGTTCCCGCGTAAAGGGTCAACGGGGAATAAAACCACACAAAACTGCACTTAGGTTTGTTGGTGTGAACACGCAGGCACCTCTGCGGTTGTTACCGCTCATACTGAAGAGCCCCGGTGTTGATTTAGAATACATACGGATATGTGATGCAGTGAACCTCTGCTTCATGTATACAGCTAGCTGGCTGGCTTGTCACTCTGTCCTGCTGGCGGTGCTGTCAAAGCGACAGGTGTTCTGTGGGGCTGCAGTTCTGAGTATTCCTATCCTCTGGTTTTCCTTTCTCTTTGTCAGTCTCAGTATGTCTGCAGAAAGAAAAGATTGTGAGAATCTGCCCAAGTGTCGGTGTTTCGTCTGACCAAATGCCATCATTTGCTGCACAGATCATGGCGAACACGGAGAAGGCTGCTCTGTGCGGCAGCTGCTTGGGGAAATGCATTCTGACGGTGCAGATTTCTGCATTAAAATTGCTTGTGTTTATTCCTGGCTATTATCAAAAGGAAGCTGTGACATTTTAAGGCTTCTGCAGTCAGTTTGCACCAGTAAAGCAGTCTGAACTTGGTTCTATGTGTCTGGAAGAAAATCTGAAGCATTGGCCTACTATTTTTGTTAAAAAAGTAGAACAAGCAGACAAAATCCTAGCACGTTCCTGAATCTTTTGCATAAAGCTGGTTTACAAAGAACCCGTTCTAATTTCAAATGCTAATGGAGATTTAAGTAGTCTGAAACAGGGACCTGTATGTGTGTAGTCAGATTCATGAAGAGAGGAAGAACTTTTCTTTCTCCCAGTGTTGCTCCTACAAGCAATAGAAGGATTTGAGAGAAAACACAATTATTTTTTTTTTGCCTCCCAGTTATGTTTGAAATGCTGATGGATGAAGAAAATCCAGATAGAACTTCCACCTTACAATTAAACAAGCTGTGTTTTCCCCGCTCTTGTTTCTGCTGTCGTTCCCTGTGCTGTCTCTGTTCCTGGCCACCCGGGAGAACAGCCCCTTGTGCTCTGCTGGGGCTCTTTGGGTGGGTGGGATACAGCCGTGGGTATCCTCACTTTGCTGCTGCAGAAAGAAATAGGCTCTGCATCTGCATCGCTGCGGTTTTGTGCTGCTGCAACATAGGTTTTATGGCAAACTAATGTGAAATGGAAAATGTGTTTTGTTGTTTTCAAGGCTTGCTTTTCCTTGCTGCCGGTGGTACTGGAGGGATCCAGGCAAATCACAAAATGGTCACTCAGATACAGTGGAGTAATTCAGTTTCTGGCTCTCCCAGTCCAAGCAGGAGTCAGGCTGTTTACTTTGGGAGAGTTTTAGGCTGAGCTTTTTAAAGCCTGTTGGAGTTCTGGGGCTTTACATTTGGTTAACTCTCATAGAAACTGATTGTCTAAATCATCTTTGAAAAAATGTTGATTCAGCTCTTTGCATTCATGTTTTCCAGTCTGTCCTTAGCCTTTATAAGATGCCGATAACTGAATGTACATTGTATATTTCATATGAGCACTAAATCCTTCTCTGCCTTAAGAACAGTTCATACACTGCACAAATGACTTTCAGAGCAGGTGTCCTGTGAGTGAAGCAAGCTGATACTTGAGGGACCAAGATCTCTTTTGGTGAGATTGTTACTCATCACAGAGGATGTCCTGGTTCGTGCTTTTTGATGGTGATAGTCCAGTGATACATAAAACCTGTCTGTTCTCAGCAAGCTTTGTTGTATAATTTCTTAGCAAAAGCTCACCCTCACCATTGGCATATGTTCTCCTAGTTAGGCACTAAGCCTTATGAAATGACTTGCACCATGTGCAGTTCATTCTCTCATCTCCTAAGGGAGAGAATTATGTGCGCTCTTTAGTGGTTTTGCCAGTGGGCTGTGGCTTGGTCCAGGATCTAGGGGGAAGGAAGGGTGATTAGCTTTACGTGTGCTGCTGCTGCGTTTGTGGAAGCAGAGAAATGGGGGGGAAGAAATTGAGGCTGCTGCTTTGAGCAGAGCATTTGCTATTGTCCATGGCTCCTAGGAGAGATTCCTCCACATGCCAGTCCTAGCTTCAGGAAAACTCCAGAAAATGTTAAGCTATGCACCTACCCCATTGATTGATATCCCAGTAAACAAAAGCATTCCTGGTGGAAAAGAGTTACTGCACCTTAAGGGTAAGATGTAGCAAGCTTCTTGATAAGTAGCTAAGACTACTGCAGTAATTTAGAACAGGAATCCAGGAATATAATATTTAGTTATGGCTGCAAAGAGCAGTGTTACTCAGGCACAAATGTAATTTCCTATGTTAGATTTGACCAAGATATTTGGATGACACGCATTTTGCTGAATTTCTCTCTAGCTCAACAGCTGAAAGTAACTGCACTGCTCGAGTCTTCAGTGATAAATACCTGGCATGAAATCACAGTGTGCACTTCGGTTTCTACAACTGTATCTCAGAGCAGTTTTCTCCTAGTGCCTTATACAGGAGACTATTGAAGTGCTTTATTTCTGTTTTGAGCAAGATTAGGATCATTTTTCCAACTCTTCATAGGATTGTATCGAACAGAAACAAACAAGCAGACAAAAACAGTGTCTTAAAGTCATTCTGGGTCTGGAGCAAGAATGGTTAAAGGGAAGCCTGCTATTCATGGCTCAGAGTCCTGCTGATGGATTTAGGTGGCTGACTGACAATGACATCAGGAGTGGTAGGTTTGAATCAGGTTCCTGGGAAAGTCCAGAGCCTTACTGATGATGCTTAGTGATAATGAGATGTGGAGGCAAGGCATGGGTACCTGGAGAACCTGGAAGGAGCTGGGTCAGTGGTACTTCTGTTGGCTCACCTAACCTGGACAATCAGCACTAGTTCTTGAGTAGTTTTTATTTTGTGGGTCACCCTTTAAACATAAGTCTGTTCTGCACAGGAAGAACACAGCTAGTCTGTCACAGCTGTTACAGCAATATAACGGCAGTAGAACAATGCTGACCCCTAACTGTTATCTGATCGGCACAAGAACCTCATCCCTCCTCCAGCTTATGTTGTCAGTCCCTACATTCAGCCACGTTTCCCTGCTCTGTCCTGGCTTATGCCAGCTGTCCCCAAAAGCAGGAGGCCTAGGGTTGAAGCTCTACTTCTGGTCTTCATGACCCCAGCAATTTCATTATCATTTTGCTGTCAGGCAGGAGCTGGTCACTGTGAGCTCCCCCCTGATTTTAACATGCATGTTATGACCTGCTAATAGGTAACCCAGCCCTGGTGCTCAGAGCTTCATCATGCTAAGCTTTTTAATACTTTGCTCTGCTCTGGAATTGTTTTGTTGGGAAGAGATCTATTTAACTAATTCCAGTTATTTTAAGTGTAAATCAGGACCCTTGTTTCAAATTCAGCAAGTGTTTTGTCTCCACTCATATCTGCTATTTCTGTATATTAATGATCAGTGCCTTAATTGTTCCAAAACGATGAGACACTTCTTTAAGGAGCATT